GTTGCGGGCGGTGATTCGCGGGATGATGAGAGCGTTCAGTCTCTCGAGGTCTAGGGCCAAGTACTCGACGTTATTGGACCAGTCGCGGGAGGTCAACAGTTTCCTTGTCGCGGCGTGCCGCGCAAGGGACGAGGGGTGGTGGTTTTCGATGTTGAACGACGGCAGGCCGAGCATGAGGGACAAGAAGCGTTCAGAGAACAGCAAACGGGTCCAGACAAAGTGGAGAGAGAGTGGCTGGTTGTGCCAGGGCCGTGGAGGGAGGCCAATGATCGTGGCAATGCCGAGGGCGCGGCGCAGCGTCATCCACCCAGCCCGAAGATCGCCCTTGTTCACCACGAAAAACGCTTGCAGCAGCAGACTTTCGAGCCCCTCTTGGGACGAGACCATGGCGTCGTGCGAGGTAACGAGACTTGAAGCGACTTCAAAGTAGCGGTCGGCCGTCTCCCAGGGCGTCACACTGCCGGACATACCATAATCGCTCAGCTTGCTGTCCTTGTGCATCAATTGTAGGCAGACAGCGAGCTGAATGAGCTCGCGGGCTAGCAGCACAGGGTGGCCCGTATCGCGTTTCTCAAGGGGGTGAATGTCATGGCCGGCCTCGGCGTCTGCGGCGAGAAACGCGCGATAGCGGCGCAACGTAAACAAGGCACCTTCGTCCATGATGCGCAGGGCATCGTTGGCGGTCGGCAGTATGGATTGTAGGTGCTTGCTGAGCGTTTGGTGTTCCAGAGGTCCCATGTAAATGCTCGGGCCCGTGGGGAACAACAAATGGTTGGAAATGAGTTCCTGCTCGAGTTGTTGGAGCTGGATGCGCAGCTGCCCTTTGGAGTCGACGTCGACAGGTGGGGCTCTGCCGGCAGGGAAATCGGTAGAGAGGTCGGTGGTGCAGCCGGTGGTGTCGGTGTCAGTATTCGAGTCGAGATAACCGGGAGGCTGGCGTAGGTGTGGCGAGGCTGTCGCCGGCGAGGGCGAGAGAGACTGCGACCTCGACGTAGACCGCGCACGGAAGTGTGGCGATTGAGCCGGTATGAAGCGGTCATGCAACCAGAGCGAGAAGCAGCTGGCGTCCTGCTGGAGGACGGACTCAAGCTCCTGGTCCAGCAGATCGGCCGTGGGATCAGAGGGACTGCGCGCAGGCTCATCCGCGGCGTCGCCATCTCCTAGAACGCTGTTGCTGGTGGCGTGGCCTGCATTGACACGCCGCCGGACGAGCTCGCCGACCATAGCCTCGACCTGGGCGATACGCTTGCCGACATCGCTGTACTGCCGCTGCTGAAGGGGGTCGGGTGAGCGGCGAGGCGACGGCGAGGGAGCAGCATACTCTTGGCCGACACACGATGTGCCGTGTCGCTGGCATGAGAGGCAGGGGCCAGCATGAGAAGAGCGGCCACCACCGCTGTCGGGAGCTGCAGCCTCACTCTCAGCAAACCGACACCGGACTTTGCGCCGCTTGCACTCGATGCAGCTAAAGGTGCCTTTGCGCAGCTTGCGGCGCTTGACGGGCGAGGCAGCTGGCGTGTCAGAATATGAGCTGTCGTCGGAGGGTAGTGGTAGACTCGTGTTCGTGCTGTTGGAGGTGTTCGTCGAGATAGGCCCCCGCCCGACTGTTGCAGCCGCGCCCGGTTTCCCGCCCGCAGCACGGGCCTGCACACGCTTCGGTGCCGTATTTATGGTCACTGTCGCCATTCTTGCTTCTGGCCTCGCAGGCCCCGCCCGAATCACCTCTCCCTCTCCGGGGGCCGTTGCCCGTGAAGGTCGCTTTGTGCGTGGCGGCATGTGATTGTTGTGTCGCGAGACGCACTCAATCTGGGAAGAGAGCAACACTGTCCGCCATGGTAGGCCGGCGCGTAAATAAGAAAGAGATTAAGCCGTGTTGTTTCATATGCAGGAACCTTATCAACGCAAAGCTACCGTTGCTCAAAGCACGACCGACTTAGAAGCGTTCCCCAACCTTGAGTGCAAATTCCGCCGATATGTCCGGTGTGCCGTTGGGGCTGTGGGTGGCCCCACTCGGCAATGTACATCACAGGGCTGACGGACAATGCCCCATAGTTTTAGGGAACATGAGGCGCAAGAAGTGATCGGTCGTCGTGATCACTATGTTTTCGATGATGTTTTTGTTCAAAAGTCCCATTTTAAGAGGGTAAACACTCAGGGGCTTTGTTGGGGAAGTTACAGCAACAAAGGGATTGTTTTGCCGCAGAAGAGAAGGAGCTCCTAAGTGGATACGCACTTGCCTCACGACGGACTTTCCTTGTTTGTGACAAGGTGGGCGAAGAATTGTTTACGGAAGGCGCGACTTTATTACAACATGTTGTATCACGTCACTTCTGCTCTCTTTCCAAATCCAATCATCGCAGTCTATTTCAATCAGATGTATCAATACAATGCGTCACTATGAAAACCGAAAGACTAACAAAACTGCAGGTCCCAGGAACGCCAGCTATGCCCAGTCACCATACTCGATCCACACTCGACCAACACTAATGCTCCCCTTTGGAGTCACCAGTACCAGGATGCACCTGGCCTTTGTCAGCATATGCAGGCGGCACATCCTCATCGGCGGCCACGGGCGACACGTTGTTCCGCGATGACGGCTCGTCAACCGTAGAGTATGTCGGTGGTGGAACGCCCGCAGACGCCGCCGCTTCATCGGTCGCCTCGTGCTCTTTGTTACGGGCATCCGGTGCCACTGGTGTTGCCGGTGTTGCCGTTGTAACAGGCGACACGACTGGAGTACCAGCGGCCTCGCTCGGCTGGGCAGCTGGCGACAGCACGGTAGGCGGCTGGGCAGCCGGCGCGGCCCACGACGCCGACGGCCCTGGGGCATACCACTGTTGAGGGTACGCTTGGCCAGGCTGTTGCGGGTACTGTTGGGGGTAATAGGGCTGCGGCTGCTGCGGCTGCTGCGGCCGGGGCGGCATGGCCGGCGGCTGGGCGTGCATTTCGGCCACCCGCACAGCGTCCAGCAGAACCTGAGCCGCAGCCTGCCACTGGCCAGCAGGAACGTCCCCGCGCAATATCTGGCGCACGGTCACGGGCGCGCCGTAAAAGGACGCGTTGGCCGATTGCCGCGACGTCACGACGGTGCCGTCGACCTTGATGCCGGCGTAGATGCCGCGGGACTTGATGTACGAGTAGGCGGCGCGGTCCATGGTTTGGCGGAGGGTGTTCTTGGCGCCGTTGTAACCAGAGGCACCAGAGGAACCAGAAGCGGACGGGCCACCTTCGACAGCAGCGCCTGCTTTGGGCGGGCAGGGCGTCGTCGCCACATTGAAGCCACCGCCGACACCGTATGGCCCCGCTGTCACGCCCAGACTCGACCCCAGCGACAGCCGCGTGTTTCTGCAAAACGCGTCGAGGGCCTCCTGCGTGTTGAGCACGAGCACACAGTCGTAAATGTCGGCGCCGAAGATAAAGCCGGCGCCCACAGCGTGGACCTGGATGCCCGATGGCGGGGACCAGCTGCCGTCGGGCTGGCGGGCGATCAGGACACCCGAGCCAGTGGCACCGGAGACGTGCATGCCGATGCGGCCAGTGGTAAAGACGGCAAGGCCAACGGCACGCTGAAGGACCGAGGGGGGGATGTAGATGAGGGAGCGGCGCGGTACGATCTGCTCCTTCTTTCCATTCTTGGAGTGAGCAGATGCCGACGACGAGGCTGACGACATGCGGGTCAGGGTCGGCTGGTCAGAAAATCCCTGCAGAATGCGCGCTGCTTTCTCGCACTCCTTGTACATGGTCTCCGGCAAGAAACCTTCAGAGCCCACTCGGTTTGCAAGCATGTTGATGGGCGAGGCGGCGCGGGCACCGATGGCGGCCAGCCGGCTGGCGAGGCCGGAGCGATAGTATGCGGCGTTGGTCATTTTCAAGGTGCTGCCGGAGGTGCTCTTGTTGTCGCCGCCATGGCCGTTGTCGTTGACTTGGGGATCATAGTACGGAACAGAAGTGCTTTTCTGCTGCCGCTGAGGCTCGGTCTGGTACTGCTGTGCGTACTGTGTGTAATACGACTCGGGGTCGGCCGGCTCGCCGGTGATTTCGACTTTGGTCATGATGACAGGGAATTGTGAAATGAACCGAAATTGCGGTGCTGTAGACGAGCTGTTTATGAAAATATCTGAAAGATTGTAGTGGAGGTGTTAATGCTCTGTATATTTTGTTGTTGTTTTTTCCTTCTTTTTTTCAAATTATACTCCATCAAACTGCCGTGCACCGCCTTTATTTATCTTTCATCATGGATCGTCTGTTTCGGTTGTCAACTTCTTTTATCCCGGTGCCTTGCATGGCCAACGCGTCCTGTTCAACGTCACTCCATCTACGGCCACAAGTGGAGGCTGGGACTTACACACTAGCGCTGTGCCATTGCCGCGTTTCTTAACGTCTTCTTTTAGGGGAGAAAGGGGCTGTGTTTGAGACCGTTTGTGAAGCCAGAGCTGATAATGTACCTCTCAACCAAATCAGTGTGGAGTTGTACTTGCTAGCGCCCCTGCGTATTAGGCACCAGAATAAAAAAGAGGCAATGCAAAGCTCGGTCTCGATCTCGCTGTCGCCAACAATTTGCTTTGCCTGGAGCGTGACGTCGAATTCATTCGATTTGCTCACAGTACGAATTGTCCATTGCGAAGCTTAGATCTACGGAAATTATGAACATTGGAACAATGAGTTTACCAAGGTATATCTGCATTTGGTAGTCAACCGTCTAGATACAAAAATATCTCCAGAAAAACAAGAAACGAAAAAAGTACCCAAAAGAATCCGCATATCTTGAAAACCGAGGCGCCAGAAATTGGTAGTATACATAACGATCGTGAGAGAGAAAAAAATACATAATGAAAATGCCATCATTGTTTGCCGTCTTAAGATGCAAAGAAAGGACGCGATGCCAAAAGAGAAAACAAAACGTGAACAACGCCGCAGCTGGCCGCAGCCAAGACGGCGGCCGCCACGATCGGAGCCATGGGCAGCCGGACCCGGCGCCACAGTCGCTGTCGCACCGTTGTTCAGTGCGCCATGGACTTGCCAATCTCGCTCTGCCAGCCCTCGGCCCGCTCAAAGCCGTTGGTGTGCGTCTGGTAGTCCATCAGCGCCTTGTAGACCTCCTCCTTGGAGTTGACCACAAAGGGGCCGTACTGCACAATGGGCTGGTCCAGCGGCGTGCCGGCCACGAGCACCAGCCGCGCGGGCTCTGTGGCCGACGCGTCCACGCTCACGGTGACGCCGTCGCCCTCGGGGCCAAACACCACGTTGCTGTACTGCTCGACCTTGGTGGGCGCCTCCTCGCCGTTGGAGATGGTGGCGCTGCCCTCGAGGATGTAGGCAAAGGCGTTCCAGTTGGCCGGCAGCGGCTGCGCGACCTTGCCGCCCGGCTGGACGGTCACGTCCAGGATCCATACGGGCGTGTACGCCAGGTCCTTGACGCTGTTGATGCCGTGGCTCTCGCCCGAGATGACCTTGATGTGCACCTTGTTGTCGTCGACGTCCACGGTGGGGATCTCGGCGGCCCGCAAGTCGCGGTACCGCGGCTCGCAGTTCTTGAGGTCCTGGGGCAGGTCGACCCAGAGCTGCAGGCCGACGTTGGCCGATCCGTCCGGGTTTTGCCGCGGCATCTCAGCGTGCATGATGCCCCTGCCGGCGGTCATGAACTGCAGGTCGCCCGAGTTGATGGTGCCCGCGTTGCCGGCAAAGTCCTCGTGGTCGACGCCGCCGTTCAGCAGGTAGGTAATGGTCTCCTGGCCGCGGTGCGGGTGGTCGGGGAAGCCTGCGCCGGGCTTGATCGAGAAGTGGTCAAGCATCAGGAAGGGCGAGAAGTTGCGGAGCGCCGGTGTGCCAATAGACCGGCGGACGCGGGCACCGGCACCCTCTGCCTGCTCGAGAGCGACGAAGACTTTGCGGATGTGACGCGGGAAAGTCATTGTGGAGGGAAGGGGAGTGTCGGCGGTGTCGTAGAAAGAAGTGATGTTGTGGGTGGAGGTGGTCGTGTTGCTGGTGCTGTTGTTCACGAGCGACTGGACCAGGCTGTGAATGTGGTTGAGAGTTGTGTCGAAAGTGTCTGGAAAGTTGCTTCTGAACAAGAAGATCGAGAAGATGCCTGTGAGGATGGAGAGCAGGATCGAAAGAAGCTTCATCGGACCAAGGTGGATCGTGGTGATCGTTTTTATAGATGAGGGAGGGAGCGCTTGAGGAAGTGACAGAAAGTATGCAATGACGAGAAAGAACACAGGAGAAGCTTTTGTCGTCCGGTGTCCGGGTGCCGATGCTAATTGAAATATGGGAATGATCGCGAATCTTCCCAGCACCCGTTGGTCGCCGCTCTCTCGCAAGCTCACGGCTGCTCGCCTAAGGATTCGTCATGGTCACCAACTGCTGACAGCGAGAGTGCTGTGCCAAACCGCCTAAATTATGTCGTAGAGCGACAAAATGCAAGCAAAAAGACCCGCCAACGGACAGTGATTCAGCCATGACAAAGCTGGAGAGTGTGGACAACGCTGATGTAACGGTTTGTCAGGCAACGGACGTGTAAGAGAGTGGAGGGGATCTAACCTGTTTTAGATGTTTAGCTCATTCTGACGAAAAGCTGACTGTGGCTTGGCTCTGTGGCTGATTCTAGAATTTCACGTGATATATCACGATGTATGATTTCTCATGCAGTCGGAAAGACAGCTCCACAGCCCCCACCAATGACACAATCGCTCGTCATCCACTCGAGTCGCTCCACTGCGTTGTAAGTCAGGCTCGCCCAATGAGGCGACCATTGATAAGAACGAGGCAGAGCTTCACCATTAAACATGCCTGCTTGCCCACACCCACTCTCGTAATGGTGGGTGACAAAGGTGGCCTGGACCATCAAACAATTACAACGGCGAGAATACACCATGTTGATGGTACTTTGGTTTAATGTAGAGGGGAGATGCGTTTTGCGCCATGTTCCCCCTGTCTTACGACGTGCTTTCTTTTTCAACGTTCCCCTCTTTCAGTGTTTCAACGGCTGTTCCGGAAAACGACCGTTATCTTGTGGCGAGAGGCGCGTGTCTTTTCTCATCATTTCCATACGGGTCTCTCCGTTGTACATTGTACAACCTACCTTTGATAGTCTACGCCCTATCGATATATTACTGACAATTGCAGACGAGACGCGGGGAAGTTGGCTATCATTGCTCGTCGGTCAATTTATCGCTGCATCTGCCAGGTCCACACATCCCTGGCGGTGCTTAGAAGTACATAAAACTCATAAAGTATCCAGTATTATGAAAACCATTATTTTTCGTGGTACTTTGGTTCCGGTAACCTTATGTTTCTAAAAAAGTCCCTAGTCTGGCCTGGATAAAACGAAAACAAGAAACATGAAAAAAAGAACAAGATATGAGACATGGATAAGAAAGGGAAAGAAAGGGAAAGAAAGAGAAGAGGAAGGCGAAAGGAAGAGTGGGAATCAAGTAAAAGTCGTTTTATCGGGTGGGTGAACGTAGCATAAGAGAGAAAAGCAATCATCTCGAGCACAAGCCCAAAGGGGGCGTGAGGAGGCAGTCCCGCGCAGGTGAGAGAGGGAACAGGGCAAGGTGAGCAAGGTGTGGCGAATAAAAAGTCATCTCAGCAGAAAGAATGCCTGCCAACTAGGTGCAGAGCCAAGGAGAGCAGAACCGACCAGCCGACAAACGGGTGCGAAACAGCACTCCTGTGATTTGCGCCAATAGCGCACCCCACTTATTCGTCCTTATCGTGCAGAAACGGCCACTAAAAGACAGTATTTCTCTCTTTTAGTTAGTGCCGTTGGGCGTCTTCTCGCTAATGCTTGCATCTGCCTGCTTCTTGGCCGCCGAAAGGTAGGTGCGCACCCAGGCCAGCGTCTCGGAGGTGACGGTGATTGCCGTCAGGGCGACCGCCTTGCCAGCCGGCAGCACGCCGTCGCCGCCGACCTGCTTGCGCTCGCCCGAGTAGACGCTAAAGACATGGTCGCGGCCTTCGGTGGCCTTGCGGACAGGGTACCAGACAAAGTCCTTGGTGTCCTGGTACACCTCAGCGGTGGGCTTGCGGACAACGGGGAAGCGCTGGTCAAGCGAGTCGAGGGTGCGGTCGCCGAGGGAGTCGGCCTTCTTGACGTAGGGCGAGACGTAGCCGTAGGGCTTGGACAGGTACGGGAGGACGGGCTTGGCGAGCGTCTCGTAGGCGGAGGTGCTGAAGGCAAGGGTCTGCTGGCCATACTTGTTCTCCTTGACGGTGGAGACGCTGTCGGAGACGAGCGGGTACTGGAGGAGGTGCTTGTATGGTTGTTAGTGGTGAGGCGCGATGACGGACACGGGCAGCTGCGACGACTGGAAAACTCACCTCCAGGAAAGCCGACTGCGGGCTGACGCCGTTGACCTGAGGGGAAGCCATTGCGAATGTGTAGGAGTGTTTGGTTTGCAAACAAAGTGAAAGATGGTTTGTTCGTGTACGGCGGCTGAAATAAAACGGAACGAGGATGGGAAAGTCGAGGTTGAGTGCGGACGACTCAATTAAGAGGCCTAGAAACGTGGGCGCGTAAGAAAGAGTCCAGCCAAAAGAGACAAAAAGAAAAAGAAAGAAAAAAAGCGAAGCAAAAAAAGACAGACGACGGGGTAGACAGGAGGTTCCTGAGTGAGACGGCTGAGACACAAAGGGGGACAAAGAATGCAGGTGAAGGCGCAAGGGCGATTACCACACCGCGGGTGTGAGGAGATGGAGTCAGAGGGGGGTGAAATCTTACAATGAATTCCTTTTTGAGTGGCTGTCGAGGCGACGTGTTAATGTTTGGGAAGAATGCAAAAGCGAGGAAACAGAGAGAAGAGCAAACAAAGGCAGGGAGAAAAGGGAAAGGAAGAGAAAAAGAAGAGAAAAAGAAGAGGCGTACGAAAAGGAAAGAGCAGACGGCAAGCTTTTGTTTTCTACAGGAAGGTTCGGTCAAAGCTGGCAGGTACGTATTGCCTACAATTACGGCGAGACACAGTCGCCATGTTGCGTGCTCCTTCCAACACCACCCACCCTGGCATGAGAAGGTGTGTGGCAACAGACAATCAGAGGCTTTTTGGGGCTGTCGATGTAGCCAAGCAGGCCGGCGTTGCTGTTGGCCATAATTTGTACGCTGTTCCATTTTGTTTTGTGTCTTGCTTGTTTTTCTTGCATCTATTACGTGTCTCGCCAAAGTTGCCTCTCTAGTTGTGAGACGATGCGCGTCTGCATCTTTTTTGCTGCGTCGCGTTGTTTGTGTTCGCTCAACTTTTTGGCATGTGCGTTGCCCTTCTTCTGCTATTTTTGCCGTCGTGTTTGCCATCCTTTTGCCATTTGAGCTTTAAAGTGGATGCCTGCCATTGTCAGGCTTACTGCGGACTGCTCTCTGTGGACTCCTGAGATGACTCGTTTCTTATCTCTGCGCAGCACGAGCAGACGCCTTTCACCACGGGTACCTCTCTATCCAGAAACGACATGTCGAGGATACATGTTTTCCACACGTTCATAAGCAGTGCAAGGGCACCGTGAGCCTTCATTGGGCGGCATGCAATGAGGCAGAAGCTTTTGCATGGATTGCTGCATGGCATTACTGTGGTGTGTGATTGTGTCCAGTTCTGGCATGTGAACGTCGCTGGTCCGTGCGTCTTGGAGTGCCTGCCCTTTGCTCGCCGTATTCTCCGTCAAAATACGCTATCCCTCCAGGTGGATTACGGAGTCAACAAAGTGCCTCTAACCCCCAGCCCCCCTACAATTTACACTGACTGGCCTTGAGTCGCCACCATGTCAGTCGCAAAGCGGCAAGAGGAGACGAGAGACGAGAGACGAGAGAGCGCCGCTATCAACCGAACGCAAATGGTAAACGAGGACGAGGCCAAGGCAGGGCATGCAGAGGGCCAAAACTATGGCAGTGATAAGAAATACCATGGACAAAGGGGCGCAGAATGGGGCAACTTTCGGAGAGGGTGCGGCCGGAATTTGCCATGCCGTGGCATGTCGGTCGGTCTTGCCATTTAATACGGCGTGGACCTCGCTATCACGTTCTTTCCTTGTCCTCTCTGCAATTACGCGCTCTGTGGTGGTTCCGTTACCTCTTCGTGCATTGCTCTTTCCCAATGCGACTCGGTACGATCATACTGTGTATGTCGTGTTCCACATGCTAAGTGACATCACCACTAAAAGCCTCTGGCGCAATAAGTACATCGCGACCTTGTACATCGATACATCGACACACGCGATCTGCAACGGTTTCCATGCTGCAGTCTCTGCACGGCTGCCATGCAACTCTTCACACTGTTCCAGGCCCCGCGTCGTACTCTTCCTTATCACACCTCTTCTCCCAGCCATATGTGGCGTACTACTATTATTGCCACACTTTCGTGAACGCCCGTTTTGTGTATTCCCTTTCTTCCATTTCCAACGTTTGTAGTGTTCGAATGCCTCTGCTCTGTGCGGAGCATAGGTTGGGTGTCGTGTCTAAATTCTAACCGAAATGAAATGCATCCCTGGGCCAAAAGGAAGTAGAAAAGAAGAATGCTGTGTAACCATCTCTCTGGTTCTCTGGTTCCTGGTTCTCCGGATCCCTCAACCCAAGACAAGGCGCCTGGCTGAGACATGTGCCCTGCATTGGAACTGTCCTCGAGAATGCCCGTCGACTTGTGAGTGCCCCGCATATCTTTACCAACCAGGGCCGACCTGGATGCCTCTTGGGTCCTCTTTGGAGACGGCGGCGCTTTCTCCGGTATTCCCTGCCCTCCTCGGTCATATCATGTGAGCGTGAGGCATCTTTGACTATCGTGGGGGTCATCCCTTACATAGACGGCTAATTATCGAGTGTTGGCCGCCGATGTCAGCCACAAGGGAACGACATTTGTGACTGTACCCCTTCGTTCTGCAATATAGGAGTATCCCTCAAAGTATATTACAATCTTCACGATGCCACCCGGTTTGTCGTTGTTTTCTGTTACTTGCTACTAGTCATCTTCTCTGGGTGAGGAATACGACGCCAGTGCAGAGTCCACCGTCCCTCGGAGAAGAGTGCTAGTATCAAATGGGACGTTGAGTTCGGTCCGACGCCAGATCCGAAGGGCACCATCGCTCGGAAAGTAAAAAGGAACAAGGGTCCTCCTGGCACATGCTTTTTGGCGTCTCCAAAAAGGGATGTTATCGTTCGAGGTTCTGAGAACGTATATGCACCTACGATGGGCACTAGCCTCGTTGCCGGCTATCTGCCCGTGACAAGCACACATTATGCTCGGCAAAGTGTAGAGAACGGTGCCGACTTGATAACCCATACAAAGTGACCGATGCACAATACAACTCAAGATCAGGGCACACTGAGCTGAACAGAGTCGCAAGTGGCGAGCCGAATTACAGAGCCGTAACGACCTGGACTGGTTGGACACACGAAAACATTCTACGAGACCATGAGACACTGGTTTGCCCTCGCCAATGGCAGCCATGACACGACCGAATGGGAAGTGAGGACATTGTCCCGGCGGAGGACGAGAACTCCCGTATATCCTCTTTCCAATATAACGTTACCCTACAATTTACTGACCAGCGACTGGGAAAAGGCTCACTGACCACGGACGGATTTCCTCTAAATTGTATTGCCAAGGCGCGGAATGAGGATCCAGAACACAAAGTTTGTACGCTATCGGAAAAGCTAGCTCGCAAATCATTTTTTTTTAGTTGACTGTGCGTCGATCTAATTAAGCACGCTTTAACGTAGTAGACAGTTTAAGAGGGGTGGCAAAAATGGAGCCCCTTTCACATGTCAACGACGACCAGACACGATTGACATCCTTTAACATGAGGAAAGTAAATAACAGCTCCCAGAATATTGCCAGCCGGGAGACGTATGATTTCATGCGAGGACAGGGGCCAGCGGGTAGAATTATTCCGTTGACGACAGTCGACGAAGAAAACTAGGAAGTGCGGATTTGATCCGCGATGAAGTTTACTTGTTCCCAAAGCACCATATGCATAGCACTTATATAAGATCAACGATGAGCTCCATACTTGTACTCCGTAATGTACGCACCTTTGCACAGCTGCTACCGAGCAAGGCGTCTTCGCTTCGACATACACCGAGGAACCAGGCGAACAAGCCACAAACCCTGTGGCCATGCCTCTGGTGACGCCACCGGGACACGATCCCCGGCAGTCGGTGGTACCCGTCTCATAGTTCAACAAGCCGTCTCGCATATCACCGCGAACAAGCAATCTATGCAGTGCTTTGAGATAATTTTGCCATGCGAGTGATAAAAAAAAAGCGAAGAGAAGAGAAGTTAAAGTACCGTTCGAGACTACACGCATGTAAAGCTATTGTGGGGTTTGAGACTGCAGTTTCGGTCGCCGAGGATGAGGCGATTACAAGTGCTGAGAACAAGTAAAACGCGTGAGTGATGCACCGATGATACGACTTGGCGTACTTTCGTCGGCTTTTCATAGTGATATAATTAAAACCGTAGAAATATATCCATGTGTATATTTTTGTAATACGTATTTTTCACCTTTAACCAAAGTCGTTATGAGAATGCTGCTAAAGAACGTGGCAATTTTGTTATACGTTTTCACCAGTCAAGTTTTCGTATGGTAGGTATGCCAAGGCGACACTGAAATTAAACCCAATTATCTCCTCCCTGATTCCATCTATTTTATGACCATCTTTTGCATAGTACTAGCTGACAAGTAAACTCTATCATCTTTCAAACTTCATAAAGCTCTCTTGGACCGTGCCATGGCCGTTGGCCCTTATTGAAGTAGTACATCTCGGCCGCTGCAATCAAAGAAGAATAAATCAATATAAAAGCCACATCGTGGTCCTGCAATGGCATATGCTCATATCCACCTGATATAAACGCGTCAAACGCGGCAATAGAAAGAAATCAGTGACGACTCAATGTCGGATGAGGGCCATCTCACGATACCGTCTGTTCTTGCCTCTTATCCGACGAGCCCGACGACGTGGCAGGGCGAGACGAGAGTTTCAATGCCTAAAAGCATGGGAGGAGATCCATTCTCAACATGCCATATCACAGCAAGGCGCTCTCCCATCTGGCCACGGACTCGTCAGGCCATTGTGCGTCATGCGTATGGCATGGTCACGCAAAGCCACCAAGCCACCCTGGAGACACAGGAAATAAGAAGAAACGAGAAAACAAAGGAACGAAGGCAACGGAATTCCAGGGTCCAAGTGCTGGACAAAGGTTGTCCACCCCAACAGGGCCCAGGCCAAAGTCTTCTTCAGCGGTTCTGTTACACAAATGAGAAGACGCTTCGCCTGGCGTGATGTGTGACGTGTGCTTTGCGAGAACAGCATGACCACACCCTGGACACTTTCTTCTTCGACTTTCCATGCCAGCAAAGGGTGGTCGCACAACATGGCAGCGTAGCATCAGAATGCA